GGTGGGGGGGGGGAGGTCAGGGTTTTATTCTTAGAAAAAAACAGCACCCCGGGCGTTTATTCGAGGGAAGCGTTCGGCGCAGCGGGAATGGGTTTGGTTTCTTAACATTGAGGTCGGGGTTTTAATCTCTCACTGTGCATTTCAATTATGTTCTTGAGCAAGAAACTTCATCTCCATTGCTTCTCTCCAACCAGGCGTATATATGGGTACATGGTGGGGTTGGCTGCTCCTGCGCTGATTACAGCAGCAACACTTAAGCATGTCGACCTATTGAGAAAGAAACGCTTTGTAACTGAAAAGAATGGCGATATGATTAACCTAATAAACCGAATAAATAAAAAATCCAAATAAGGCACAGTCCGCACAGGTGGGAAAAGTGCGGGCCGCATGCGGCCAGTCAGCGATTTTTTTGCGGCCCGCGACAATGAATTAAAAACCCTATGTTTGCGGCCCGCCAATCAAAATTGTCTAGAAAACACCTTGTTTTTTTACGGTCCGACACCAATCATATGTAAAAAGCAACATTGAAAGTGATTTAAAAGCAGTGCTTGGAGCTCACTGGAAACATCAAAGTTTGGGTGCAGCCCTCGGTGTTAAATCAAAAATTCACTTTGGCCCTCGGACCGATTTTTATGCCCACTCCTGCTTTAGAGGATGCGGTTATTCGAGGTGGCGTTAATTCAAATAAATACGATATTTCACACGGACACCTCTCAAAATTAGTTATTAATTAAACAGTTATTTTTTATACAATGACCTTTTCGGCGTGTCGATCAATCTTAACAAGTGACCAATCGGAGCAGGGCCACAAACACGACCTGTTACCCCACAAACGCATGTGTTCATACCTATACTTGCGCTATTAATTTTGTGGGAGCAACATCTAAGGGGCAGACTTTTGGGTGCATAAGTTTCATATTATATTTTGTGTTCATTTACAGATGACTGACACAGTTGTCACTCAGCAAACAAGCGTCGTCACCACCCAGCAACTAGGTGTCGGCACCACCCAGCAACAAGTCGTCGTCAATCAAACTCCATCCGCTATGGTTAGTAGGATAAATTTTTTCTTGTTATTGCACTGGCGTTGGCATATCTTCTAAGGAGTACTTTATTGTCATTCGAGATGTGAAGATGATAGGGAACGTGAGTGGAGCCAGCTGGGGGAGCGTGGTTATTTTAAACTACGGTACTCTAGTGTATGTTTATGATCAGCAAATATTCAGTGGTGGGGAATATAATGGAGGCTCCACTAATTAAGACCCCTCCAAAAAGGTGTACTCTATTGACTTTAAAGACTACCAGATGTAAACGCCTAGCTTTCACTTTTATGATATTAGCTGCAGTTTTTCTAATTAGACACCAAAGATAGAACCTCAGTCCCAAAAGTAGCCTTTATTTTTAGGGAGACCTATTATAACAACATGTCATGATGCAAAAATTCTACTTTATAATATTGTCGTATAAAGCAAACTTACGAGCTGCTCTAACAGATATGATATATATTAGAGAGCAGCTTAGCTCAGTCGGCTAATTTGGTGGAGTCTGTGTGCGCGCTGATCCGTGTAGATCTTTAGGTCCCTGGTTGAATTCCCATCGCTGTCTCTCCTTGTGTTTCAGCTTGAGGGCTGAAATGCAAGTTACAATAGCGCACCGTCTTTCGGATGAGACGTTTAAGCCGTTGGTCCCGTGTGCATTTATGGCCCATGTGCAGGTTAAAGAACGCAGTACATTCTTCGAAAAAGAGTAGAAGATTGTCTCCCGGTGTACTGCCCAATCACCACCAGGACTCCACTGGAAATAAGTCTTCTTCTAGACTTTCGTGGGCTATCCTTGGTGTTTACAATGAATAAATCCAATTCAATCCAATCCAATTGATATAGGTCACCAATTAATGAAGTAACAGTATTTAAACACTGCTTGAACTGTTTGTTTTTTCCTTTTTACTCTTGCCCTTGTAATATTTGTTTTTGTTTTTGTTTTGTTTTGTTTTTTGGTGTGTAATCATCGATTCTTTAATGGTTTTATAATTGTCTGCCTTTTAGCAATATTTTTATATACTTCAAAAAACACGAACTGTTTGTTTTTGTCTTTGATTTTTTTGTGTGTGTGTTTAATGATCGATTCTTTAATGGTTTTATATATCCACCTTTTATCAATATTTTTTTATATATTTTAAAGATTATTATTATTATTATTATTATTATCAATTTTTTTTCGCAGATTGCTAGGCGCCAATGGAGCACCGGCCTATTCGGCTGCTTTTCAGACATTGACTCATGTAAGTGAATTGGTTACTATGTCAATAAGATGGGAAATAATTGCTATATTGCCATAATCTGGAGTGGCACCAATGCGAATCCAGCGTCCCCCCACCCAACCTCCCCGTCGAAAAGAAAAACCACAATTCGTCGGGGAGGAAAAATTTAAATATTATATGTATTTTCTACATATTAGTAGACTCAAAAATCGATTAAATAAGCATTTGAAACCCTTAAATTGTCACTTTCTGTATTTTTAAAGTAACTCTTCCCCACACCCTCCCCACAATGAACCTTTACGAAGTGTCAATCAAACATAAAATCTGACCAATCAGAACAGAGCCAGGAATAATCACGTTACCTACAAACACACGTTCCCCCTTCCACCACGTACAAAGCGGAAAGGTCCATTTTAAACTCGCGAGTATATCGGCGGTCGAGCATCTTGGTCTTAAAGTCGGACTACAACACATCAAATCAATTTTTGATATGTTGTACAACTGATCTTTTTAAAACAGAAAGAAAGTGAATGAGATACAGATTTTTGAATATTTTGAAAACTGGGGAAAAAGGGGCGTAATCGCCCTTTTTTCACCTTTTCCCCAGTTTTTAAATATTAAAAAAAATCTGTATCTCATTCACCGTTCCACAGTTTTTCGTCAAACAACTTTTTTTCTGTCTTCAGTTTTTCTGAAATCAGTTCTACAACAAAAAACTACAAAAAATCCTCCCGAGCCTGACTTTAACCAACGTGTTGCTCTAAAAAATATAGTAAATAATATATTAAGTGACATTTTTTCCTGCTTTAATCAATTTAGGTCTGGGTGGTCTGTTCTGTGGCCCATTCTTCATCTGCCACTTAGCAAATAAGGCCGGAGAGTGTTGTTGTGCACCTTACTGTGTCCCAGGAGCAATGATTGCCATTAGGATGAAAGTCAGAACTCGACTTAACATTCAGGTAGTACTGCCTACTGATTCTCTTTGATTTGAAATTGAACCATTCCTACACTTTGTCCTAATCACTTGTACGGTAATTTCATAGTGATCTCGCACTTATGGGGTGCCATACGCACTGAGTTCGCACTCATCTGGCATACTGTAGTGAAGATGATTTGCTTTGGTCTGCTAGTCTTTAACAAACATACGAGATTTAACCTATTACAACGTTAATTCCCCTGGTCATCCACAGTTTTCAATTCAACTTTTATTTCGGAATCATTTCCATAGTAAGCAATACAGTAACAAATGACAAAAAGAAATATGAGTTACAAAAATAAAGGAGGTATTGCAAAAACTATGTATTCACGGGGAGGGTCGTTGTACTTCCCAAAGGTCTAAATGGTCTGCATACCCCACCCTAACACAAATAAGTATTAGTGGGGTAGGGGCGTTATTCCACTAAGGTCATAAATACCTGCATACCCCACCCTAACCGAACTATGCATTGCCTGGTTAGGGACGTTTTACAATTTATATGGACCATTTAGTTGGAATTTGTCTGCTAATCACCCATTGACTACAACGCACGGACTTAATAATGCTATAGTTTTGAAGGGGATTTTCCAGGGTATAAACGGCGTCTTAAACAAAAACCGAGAAAAAAATAGCAACTAACAAATTCAACATTGTAAAAAATTTTACTCATGAGTAATCGGTGTATTTGAAAAGAGTTAGTAGAATTACCATTTCAGACCCGTAACCATGGATTCCTTATAGGGAGATTAGTTGTTAGCAAGAGTTCTTTTGGCGTCAGGGTCGAAGAAGCCTCATCGTGTTGAACATTCTAGTATATAAATGAAGTAGGCCTATTTGAGTCTAGGGAGAATGTGGTTTTGTTTATCAGGAGTTCACTCGAAAAAAGGGTTTGCTTAAAAAAAATCCCCTTCCCGTGGTTGTGGGTTTGCATCGCAACTTTAGGCTTAGTCGTAGATTTGCGCATGCATTATACAAATATAATAACAAATACACAACAGAGAGTGTGCATTCGTTATTATACAAATATTCTCTATTTTTAATTTCAAATTTTGGATGTTCGTTTTGATTGTGCTATCGTTCGTACTTCGATTCTAATGATCGCCTTGTCAATTGTGAATGAAGAAATATTCATTCAGACACTTTTTGGACTTATTTCTGTATACATAAACGGTAGCTACATGTGAGGATGAGTGCTCAATTATCGTAAGTCCAACGGTGGCGGCACCAGCGGGAGAGTAATGGCCTAAGTCCCCCACCTGACAGACCCGGCCCCCCACCCCCGTCAGACGGAGCTCGTTGGGAAGTCAGACTATAAAAAATATAAAAATAGGCCCACACCAAGTCAACACATATCTGTCACAGTCTGAGAGTGCCATTTCTGACCATCCCGAGGTTCCTAAAAAATCTTTTTTGGGATAGGGACACCCCTCTCAAACCCTTCTCCCAGCTCGGGCCCACAAGGTCAAATCGCTTAGCACCCTCCCCCAGAAAATATATCCTAGAGCCGCGACCTGGATTGATCATACATTTGTCACGCATTTAGCACGTCAGGTCTGTGCGTGATAGCGAATTATCACGAATTCAGGAAAAATATGTATCTAAAATTAGAAGAAATTGGTTTTATTAAAAAATATAAAACCGGTCATGCAGTAACTCGAGTCATTAGACAGTATTTACGTGAATACTTCACGCGTTACTAAAACTGATCAGTGTGTGCTATTCATTTTTTGTTTAAGTAATGAAACGTTTGTGTACATAGTTTGGGTGCTCAAATTAAACATAATGTATATTGAAACATAAATTGTATGTGGCTAATCTGTAATAATAACATCGGAAAGATGGAACAGGCAGTGCTCGTTTTTACTGGGTTTACTTGACCATTTTTATTTATTTTTTGCCAGGGATCTTTGTGTACCGATTGTTGTGTGTTATGCTGCTGCGGAGGTTGCGCAGCCTGTCAGATGCATCGGGAGATCAACAACTCAGCCAATGGTTCCTTGCAATGAGGCAATAGCGCCTTCACCGTAGCAACTTTGACTGGCCATCATTATATCAACCGATTATAAATCACATGCTTTATTTTAATATTAACGTAGTTTACTAATCAAAATGGTGTAATTATTAGACTTGTTCGACATCTTTTCATCTGTACAATTTTTAATTATTGTAACGAATTTTAAGATTTTATTACTGTTTTTATCGAGAGAACATTTTTGCGGATTGATTCAATCTTAAAGCCGGTTTTCCACTAGGCGAATTTATTCGCGCGAATCGAAGGCGTCGGTTTGGTTCCTGAGCTCTGATTGGTTGCGTACATTTTTCGCTTCGCAAAAAGTAGAAACAGTACGAACTACCAATTTCGCTGAAGCGAAAACTCCGATAGAAATGTGAATGCGCATGAGCATGAACGACGCTTTCGATTCGCGCGAATAAATTCGCCTAGTTGAAAACCGGCTCCCTGGAACGCCCTCAGGGGAGAATTCGCGAAGCTAATGGCTATGATCTGTTGGTTATGTAGATGAAAAGGCGGAAAACCGATCTGTGTCTTTCGTTTAAGACGCAACTCAGAGCTGCAATTTGCAGTGTGGGGACGTTTATTATTGAGATTTCCTATTAAATTTATACAGTAAAACATATTAATTTGTTGTGACGTCACTTTTATGACGTGTTCATTGGGTTTGACCATAGAGGAATTAGTCTAAACCAAGGAGGTATTATATTACTACAATATCTCTGTGCCTACAATTCCTCCATGGTTTGAATAGGTGTGTGATTGTTCACAATATAAAAGCTGCTTACGCTCTGATTTGCTCAAGATCTGATAAACACGTACGTTACGTGTTACAAAATTGTGAGTTGTTCTTAGGCCTATTCCGGATTTGAAAAGTGTTCACATGTTTTCCAAGTGTAGCCAATTTCCGTGTCCTCGGCTATCACACTACATGTTTTGGCACAAAATGTACGGCAAATTTTAAAGCGTGACAATACGAACATCATAGCATGTAACTCTCCCTAAGGCCGTCTCCAAATTGAAGATGGTCGTGAAGTTTACGCACTCACGACCATCTTCATAAAGTTATACCCCATACCACACTTTTTGTACTCTGATTGCCGCACCCACAGTCAACCATACGTCTCATAACACCCAACTATTTCGTATATCTTTTCCCACTCTCATGCATCATGCTCCTTGATGTATTTTCACACCTCCATACCTCTGTAAAGTCTGTATACTTCCCATGACGGAGATGATTCGTTCACAATTTGTTGCATCTAACCTTCTATATACATTTATTGATTTTGTAAGAATATAATTACCATTGTTTTAGCCATTCAAATTTTGTAAGACTTTCGGACCTGAGTAGTGTAGTCTATCTATATTAATTGCACTCAGCATGCAGTTTTGTCGGTAACGCTCGGGTGTTCGGTTAACACGGTTCGCCTTCAAAAGTCTGACTGTCCGGCTGGTCATGATAGGCACTTTACCTAGTAACTCCACCGACAACTTGTAACTTTTGTTACAAGTATAAACGAACACATGTTTTAAATGACCCTGCTAATAATGTTAATAGCTTATAGGTGTTTTTTTTTTCCTTTTTTTTTTTCTTTTTCTCTTTAATGATTTTATGAATAAACATTGACTATACTTCTGTTGTGTTTTTGATATGTATGCTTTTACATCAGTTTTACATTGCATTTATTATATTATGTGCTTGTTTTTATTTATTTATCTACTTTTATTTACTTTATTTTATTATTACATATTTTTATTTTTTTAATTTATTTATTTATTTATTTTATTTATTTATTTTTTTTTATTTATTTATTTTTTTTATTTTTTTTAATTTTTTTTTCTCCTTTTAGTTAAGATTTTAAACTTTAGAATATTATATTATTTTAATTGGATTTGGATTTTTCATTACTATTGTCTCTTTTTTTATGAATTTATCTTTACTTGTAACTTTTGTTCTGTTGTATGGTCGAACCTCTCCTGCGTGAGAGTGTTCCTCTGCTTTGAAAGAGAGAGCCAATAAATTATTATTATTAACCAATATGTGAAATAGCAGTGGTGACGTCACAATTTCAATTAGAACAATGAGCTATATGATTATATACCTTCAAGTAGGCCTATCTTATGCCATCATTTCATTTGTGTTCCGACATGCTAGGAGGCAGGTTTTAAGTAGGCACTACTTCTGTGGTTTCTGATCTTTAATAAAGCATTATAAAATATAACTGTACTGTTTGCTCAGTTAACTTTGCTCGACTTATAAAACACATATTGGGCCTAGCGTATGGCTGAAGACACTGTGACGTTTGTATTATAGGCCCTACGTATGAACTCTCACTCTAAGTCCAGAAGCGTGGGATTTTAATCAATATGTTTTTGCTGAGACTATGAACCCAACATTGTAATGTTTTCCATGGTATACCCACTGTATGTCACGTGACTGGTAAACAAACATCCCCGAATCGTATATTTTAATGCATACTACGCGAAGAGCTCATTTTTCTGGTATATATTTTTTGGTGTTACGTACACCGCGTACGGACAAGACGTCATCAATATTCTAATTATAGACCACTTTCAATTAACGGCTACCTCCAATTATAGACAATCTCCAATTAAAAACCACTTTCCTTTGACCCCATTTGAATTCATAACTTTTAGGCTAACAATATCTCCAATTGAAGACTCCGTCTAGTTAGAGGGCAAAGACAATGGTTTTGACCGAGCCAGAAAAGCCTTTTTTTAAGATATACGGGTAGAATTTGTAAAATTTGAGGAAGTGTTGAATTTGTCTCTAAAATTTCAATATTTTTTCAATTAATTTTTTCATCCTTTATTTTCATTTTCTGTATCTTGCGTTGTATCAATTGTTCTAAATTTAACAGACGTGGTCCAGTATAATAAGACTAGAGTTAGGCCTATGACTGAGATATTACAACAGTAACTTACCGTATTGTTACAACAGTAACTTAGTTGTTACTAGGGTTGGATCAGTGATCTGTTTTCATTCTTTCGTTATGAGAGACTGTAGAGTTGTTTTACCACAACATTGTGTTTAAAGTAAATGATGTTTAAGAGGGCAGAAACGTGGTAAACAAAGACTTCATTTTAAGCGGGTGCATGACGTCACGTGTGGTGCAGCGAGGAGTTGGACTTATTCATCGTGAGATCGGTAGTTCGAAACTGACACTCGTCGCACTACTTGTGTCCTTGGGCAAGACATCTTACTTACGTTTGCTCTCTTCACCCAGGAGTAGGCTATAAATGAGAGAGTCATGCTGTTAACCTGCTAGTTGGTGACCCTGCCACGACTGTTCCAGTCCAATTAATAACAAAAACTAGATATCAAATTATATCATACGCAAGAAGACAAATAAATCGAATGCATTGGTTAAAGTCGTTGTTACTACGCAGCAGTAAAAGAATTCATTTTAAGCAGGTAAAAGATACGATACGATACGATTTATTGGGTTCACTTTTAAATCAGCGGCACGAATCACTTTGATGGTGCACCCAAGAACAATATAATATAAAAAAGAAAGCTATAAACTAAAAAAAAAATGGGTAAAAAACATCATATTTAAACAAAAACGAAGTAAATTGTTGTAGGCCTATGTTTTACCGTTTTGCATATCTCAATAATAAATTAACAATAACAAATAATCACAATATCTTACAAAAACTTGAAGCATGTGTGGTGCGCAATACAACATTGTTAGTATCAATAAGTTGAAAAATATGAAATAAAACACACTGAGCTACACAAAAACCTGTATAAAGTAAATAGTCCAAAATAACGTCAAATTTTATGGCGCTCACATCATGGAGGTAGAAATACACATCCATGCTTACATTAACAGGATATATTCAACATCCCGGTGTTCTATAAGATTGCGTTACAGGTTCTTGTGTAGCTAATTGCTCCTCATCTAAGCGATATAAAGATATTTTTTACAATATTTGTCAAAAATACAACTTGCATCCTTGTAATCAGATCAAGCAAATCGCATTTAAGTGAAAATTCATTGTGTATAGACAGGTCATCAAAGAAAAGATAATGCTTAAAATTTGCTAAACTTGTGGTAAACATTATCTCAAAATATATCAAGGTTGTATTATTTTATTAAGTTCATTTTTAAGTTTCAGGAAAATTCCATCTTTAATATTATTTAGTTTGCAGCTTTAAAAAACAAAGTGGTCTACTGTTTCTTTACAACCATTTTTACAAAGGTCTGTGTTCAAATTTGACCAGGCTTCTTTGCGACTTTCTAAATCAAGTGAGTTTGATCAAGCTTTAAATTTAAGAGTCTCTTCTGCGAAGTTACATTTGTCTAAGAGGTGCTCAAAAGTTGGTTCAGATTTGTATCTAATGTAGTCATAGTGATAACTTTAGTTTGAGCACGATCAAACCAGTTTGACTTATCATTATATATTTGTTTAAAATCCTTTGTGAATATGATAATAACGAGGTGCACAGGGGGAGCTCACTTCACCACTTTCACTCCCATTGAAAATATTTGAAGCTAAAAACCTTTCACACCTTTCACATCCACGCTCATGTAGGAAAACTATCATTGATCCTCACGCGAATTTGCATAACGTAGGATAGTTTGGTAAAATCTCATGAATTATTCATAACCATCCTTATCGAACGTATTTTGAAGTTTAATATATTTACTTTCAGTGTGAAAACACAAAATACTATTAAATAGTTGTTCAATTAACGTATGATATTGGACTAGGAAACTCGATTCTGACACGATTACCAATACGATTACATCTTGTATATATGACGCAAAGACAAAATAATTAAATAAGATAAGATAATTTAATTCACACATTCAAGATGACATAATTAATGTCGAAATATTGAATCCCGACACGATGGCGTACGTTTCGATACTTGGAATGTATCATACTATCTTGAAATGAAAACGCACGAAATGCAATTTACCATGTTGTCCGACGTGGAGAGGAGAGTTTCCCTGACAACCCTTAGGCCTACTCATCATCAACAAATCATTACTGTACACAAAGTATAATAGCTTCATTATCCATACCATAATCAAACGAATGTTTCGAATGGTCAAATACTGTAGAGATTTGGTAAAATCAACTGAAGATTTAGTACTGCAGTGCTAAAATTTAGCAACACCGCCACCATGCGGCTAAAAGAAAATCCTGCTTCGACTGTCGTCCTTCTTGTTTTCATGTTTGTGCTCTGAATATGAAGATACCAAGCTATTCACATTCGAACAGCCTAATCTACACTTACTGTTCGTCCTAATCGTTATTTATATAATTTCAGTCAAATGTAAATGGCAGCTAAACAGGTAATGGTTCGATTAAGAACGATGGCATGCTGGCTGAAAAAGGAGAGTAAGTGTCACTGGGATATATAAATTTACAACTTTTTCTTCAGTTGATTTAAAATCCAGAGGCTGGTGGTCGTACTACTGAAGAAACAGTGCCTGTCTCCCTTGTAAATAGATGCCACCATAGATCTCTTAGCAGCATTACTAATACTACTAATAATAATAATAATAATGATAATAATAATGGGTTATTTTTAGGCTGAAAGCACAGAATAAAAATCTATACGTGGCGTCATTGGTTGCTCAGCTTGGTTCGTTTATGATGGGCTACACCCTAGCATACACATCCCCTGCTATACCAGACATGGAAGACAGAGGAGTGTTGAAGACGACTGATCAAATATCATGGTTTGGTGTAAGTATAACTTAAATCAATCATGATCGATAACCATTGACTGATTTATTAACAGTCAATCAACTATCCCATATTTCACAATATAATATATGCAGACCTACCAACTCACCCGATCCTGTCGGGTGTCACCCGATATTTAAACAAATCTCCAGTTCTCCCGATCGAATGTAATTTTCACCCGATTTCACGGGTCACCCCTCCCCAAAAATACTCCGATTTATGCATAATTTGATCGTTATTATTCAATGTATTCGCCGCCTGCTTGCTTCGCGGTGCAATAAAACGAACAGCCATTTTCAATTCGAATGTCGCCATAATAACGGCCAATGATTTGTAGTGACGTGACTTTTTCTTAAAGTCTTAAAAATTCTTTAAAAAATCTCTAGATTTTCATGACCCAAGGGTTGGCAGGTCTGATATATGGGCTGTTTTATCACACTCGCATATTCATCTTCAACGTTTAGAATGTATTTACATATATTTATAGCATTCCCGAAAGACGGTGTAGAGTCTATATACACTGTGGTAATTTAATTTTAATTCTCAAATATCGACCTATCTAGTGAAACTTCACAAAATTTCTCTACATTTAGTCATTAATGGCTATAGGGGCGATATTCGGTGGCCCGATTGCTGGCTTTTTTGTTGGTAATTATGGCCGAAAAGTGGCTATGATGATGTGCTTTCTGCCATTTGTGGTTGGCTATGGCCTAATATCATCTCTGGACAACATCGCAACACTGTACTTTGGCCGCATACTGACCGACGTTGGAGCGGGAATGGTTTCTTTCTCTACCCCCGTGAGTAAGAAGGCACCGTCGTTGCTATTTACCATTATTTTAAACACAGTAATGATTAATTATACTAAGACCACATCCCATATAAATGAATCGTATAATAGAATTTATGTGAGTTACAACGTAGGATTGGTTGAACAACATTCAAACCTTTCTTTTCCCGCTGTCATTGAAATTGCCTCCTTCAAATTTGGGTCGCCAAAACATTTCTGAGGGTCGTGAAATTGCTTCTGACAGCAAAATGTTTAAAATGATGAGTTGCTTCTTTGTTTATTGAGTTAGTTTGAGGGGGTCGTACAAGCTTCATTTTTCAATTATTATTTACCCAGTTAGCCTCGCCCAGTCGTGTGTACACAAGTCGAAAATTCGTCATTGTTTTAAACGTTTCAAAAAATTATATAAGTGTAGTAAATATTTCACCCCCACCCACCTAAATTTTTCAAAATTATTAAAAAAAAAATGGAGAAAAAAGTGAAAATTATATTCAAATTTAAGTCTGCCATTTTCGACCATCTAGATGTGCCATAATCATAATGTTATTCTTACCTCAGCCCCAACCATGGTGGAGTTGAAGTGGTATTGAACCCTATCTGTGAAATTTTCTGGGGCCCCTCTATTTCAAAATACTGGATCATGACACTGCTCCATACTATAAAATGGAACATTCCGGACACGATATGAAGTATCGTGTACTTTGTTAAATCATGGTTAAATAAATAAAAATCTAAACGATTTATCACAGCTATTTAGTATTCGACTTAGCCGAGGTTGATTGTAGAAATACAACAGCATATCTGTATTTTATAAATTAGGAGGCACATGCTATGTCTATCATTATTATACTAGTATAGATTTATAAAAACAAGGCAATATGTCAGAAAACAGTAGCATTATGATTTTATTGAGCTTGTGGCAAGTATAAAGATAGGCCTAAGTCCTCAACACATAACATGACAATATCGTTTTTGTATGAGAAGTATATGTCTTGGGTCGTCAAAGAAAAGGGAATCTGAAAGTGGGTCCCATCTAAAAAAGTTTGAGAAGCAGTGTTTTTTGAGAGTGTGGTTTTAGATGTAGAGAGAAAGAATTGTGTAAATTTAAAATATTTGGAAAAGGATCGGCACTGACCATCCCAACATGACACAAGAAAATACGTGGAATGGCGTTTTCTTTCGTACAAAACCAAAGTCGCCCTAACCTTACCCTTCTCCGTGTGCTTACATTCATTGAATTATCATACTATGAAATGTGTTTATGTGTGTGTGTGTGTTTTTTTTTTAAATTTATTCTTTCAATTTTTATATTCATAGGTATACATAGCGGAGTTATCGAGTCTTGATTTACGAGGAATGTTAGTAGGTGTCTCTCATCCGTTTATAGGTGGTGGGATGCTTCCCGTGAATGCTTTGGGTTAGTGTATGACCATGTTTAATGTCAAACCTCCTTCATGATAATAATACTGATAAATAACTTTGATGTTGAAAAGTTTGTTTGTGTATTCGTCATCGTTCTCGCTTGCTTGGGGTTTTATCCCATTCCTGATTAAGTCAGAGATTTTGCCAACTAAAGGAAAAGGACCTGCGAGTGCAGTTGCGACAATAGTTAATTGTTTGTCTTTATTTGTAGTAACAAAGGCGTTTCTCAAAATGTCGGTGAGTAAGCTTATCAGTAAGAGTTAAGAATATTTTTGAACTCCCATCATAATTATGATAACTATTACTATAAATCATTACCACCACCATCGTTATCATCATACAAATATGCAAGTATGTCCGAGATTGCTCATAACTTGACTCGAATCACTGGGGTGTTTTTTGGACAAGATTTGAATCAACCCTGTGATATCTACTACAAAAAGTTGTTCTTTATGTTTGTATCTTGTTCATTAAAGGTTGTGATGACGGAAGCCTGGGTGTTCTGGTTCTTTGGGGTGTTTGTTTTCTCAGTACCATTTTTGTTGCTCTTTGTGTTCCCGAAACGAAAGGAAAGTCATTGGAGGAAATAACAAAGGATTTCAACCGCTACAATAGGCATTTGTGATATTTGTACTGCAGTTGATACAAAATTGTTATTCTGCGGTCGGTCATGGTTTAGGCCTATTTGTTAGGTGATGATAATAATAATAACAACATCCGATTTGTACATTAAGCATGGTTTAATGGTTGTAGTAGCTAATTGTATTTTTTATTGTACTGCCTCATTATAGAGAATAATGATGACGATAATGATAATGATAATAATAATAATAATAATGGCGACAATAATAACAATGATAATGATGATTATAACGATTACGATAATAATGGTGATTAGGGCCTACTATGATAATGATTATTATGATGGTAATGACGATGGTATAGTGGCAGTAAAATATGGACACCCCTTTAACAATAATTTTAACAATAATTAAAATTAACATACAAACATAGGATTTTTTTTATCTGTTTCAATTTGCATTGATGCATTTTATTTGTACCATTTTGTTTATTGTTTTTTGTTTCTTCTTATCACAGCAAATGAAGTTGCTTCATTTATGTGTTGCTGCTGATTTTTTTTTTAATGTTTTATACACAAATAAATAAATATAATTAAAGAAAAATAAATATTTCATATGGTGTTATATTTTTCTGAAGTTTTTGTTTTCATGTTGATCGTATTATTAATTTCTCTTTTCAATATATTTGCTCACTCTGGTTCAGTGAGCATCTAATATTAAACATTTGAAATATCTCACATTTACAAGTGAACGAAGTGAACATAATTACAGTGTTTAGAAAAAAACTAGTGACTAAACATTTTCAGAATTTTCTATTTTTGGGGTAGGCTCCCCAACTCTAAGTTATCGGGAGGCATGTGGCAGTTTTTTTCGGTTTTTTTGTTCTGCCTTTGGCGATGTAAAAGTCTCCCATACGACCTGTTCTTATATCGAACTGTGTTTCTGCCTACACAATACTGTTGACCGTACTGTATACGCTGGATGATTAAATTTTACTGCCTTCAGTAATTTTAACGTAATGTTTATGTGTCACTTGTGCTAAATTGCTGGGTAGCTTTATATATAGTTTGGATGTATGGGCTGACTAAGAGAACTTTAATGAATCATAAATACTGCAAGCAAAGTAATGGGAATTAAAGTAGATGCCACTTATGATATAGGCCCCTGATTATTAATAGTTGGCCTGCGGCACAAATTTGGTCTGCAAGACTGTAGTTTAATTTGGCCCGTGGACGGGGATGGTTTTATAATGAGCAAGATGATATAAATAGAGTAAATAGCGCCAACAATGTATAACTAGGAGCTTTACTTGATCCCATTCATCACTGTGTGCTTCAAACAAGTCAAAAACGCGTAATGATGAGGGGTTTAACCTCACTCAGATCTAAAATTAAACCCAGTAAAACACCCATTGGTATTCGGATTAGCTCAGCTAAGTAAAGGGAGTAAAAACTTTACCATAGACGTGTTAAAATTGTGATGATTGCAGAGCCCTGATGCACGATTTGGACCCATGGTAGAAGAAGCCCATTGTTAAATCATATAAGTAAACTCAACTAAATTTAGGTTATTTTGCAATACGACTATTGGGTTTTATCGTCAATGACATTCGTACTTTACATGGTTATAACACGTTAGTGAACCAAATAACAGTGCTCATAAAAATACGTTGTCCTACAAATAATGCAAGTCATACGGAACTACATGTATTTTGTTCTAATCACTGTGTTTCGTTAATATTATTCTTTTCAAATCAGTTACCGTCATTTGTTACGCCAAGTTCTGTCCATGTGTTTGTTCTGTTCAATGTGATTCGTGAATAGCATATTTTAATTTACAGGGATAATAAAAATATCCAGACTCAATTAGCATCTCTTTTGTGTGGTCAATTACAGTGATAAAGCGACCCATCAAAGTTGAATATACGACTGTTAAACTGATGACATCGTCCCCACAGAAATTTCCCGCGACCCAATTTTAGGTCATGTCCATGACTCCTAGTGTAGTACAATAAAAAGTATAATTTGAAGTTGCCAAAAAATATTCAAATAAACCTAGCTTTAGCGGAAACAGTTTCGCCCGATGTTTAACGATTGCTTTCAATCGGTAGAGATTATCTTTGGCCCATCAGATTAATTATAAAAATAATTAGGCTTTCAAACAAGTTAAATTAAGAACCGGGATATAGGCCTATGTGAAAAGGCAATGCTCACTAATATAATAATTAGTGACAAAAAACATCAACTTAACAACAATTACTAGCTTTAGCCGATCTTGGAGTATCGCACCAAATAACAAAACAATAAACCTATAAAACTCTTTTCTTCCCAGTGCTATCTGTTTGGAAAATATTCATATTTATTAGGTAATCGTAGGCCTATACCGTACATCTTGTTCATATATTGTTTATAATATTGTATATACTGCTATAATGTGTGTATTTGTTTGTGGAAGCATATCATGTATTATGTATGACAAATTGAATCTGAGTTGCAGGATTTGAGTCTCTCTTCGAAAAAAATAACCCAAATTATGGGTGATCTCAATTTTCCTGACCTGCGTTGGAATGAGACTAATGTGAAGTAAATAGCACCCGTGAGCAATCCGAATACAGTATTATAAATTTGCAGAAGAATCTGTTCCTGTTCCAACATGTTCAAACACGCGTAGAATAGGTGAACAAAAACCATCTTTACTATTTATTTTTACTGGAGTGAAGATTGTATTTCTAAACTTGAACACGCACCTCTAGAAGTTCATCAGATCATGGCTGTTTAATGTGCATGGAAGCTGACTACTAAGGTTGAAATTCCAAAGAATGATCTGGATGACTGCAGAAGAGATTAAGGGGTGGCGCTAGGATTTGCCCGACGGGGGGGCCGAGGTCCCCGACGGTGGGGGGGGGGGCAATGCCCCGACGAGGGGTCAGATTTCCCCGACGAAAGCAAAGTGAACGCGGTCGAGCTTCGATTAAAAGGTTTCGAAAGGTTCTCTACATGAATCCTAAAAATTTTTTAATTGGGAGGAGAAGATATTATTACATCCTGCAACGAAGAAAAAGATCTTGGAATCTTTGCTTCCAATTGTCAAATCCTACAATGCAGGCTGTGCAGAAAGCCCAGGCGGTGCTACTCTTGGATTCATTCGACGTACATTAAATTAATGTACTTGATAAAACATAATATACACACCTAGAATTTTGTATCTAAACATGGAGTCTATATGATACTTGAAGACATCCAACGACGAGCTACCAAACTGGTTCGGAGTATTACTCAAGTTTCTGGAAATCCATTCACTGGAAGTGCACAGAATTAGAAACATGTAAGATTATGTCTGGTCTAGAAGAAGTTGATCTAAATCATTTTTTGACTTTAAGCCATAATGTGCAATCAAGACGTCATCCTTTCAACCCAGCAAAGAAAGATCTTCACAAGTGAATGGGCTTACTAAAGGGTAGCAGGTCAAAACAGCAATAATTAGTACCAAAACGGCAACACACCAATACGGCAATATGCCGGGACCAAAACGTCAAAGAAACGGAGCAAAATCAATGCCAAGAGCAAGTGACACAGTTCGCGACCATGGCACAGTTCATAATTTCAGAATCATCTTGAAATTGGTCCGATCGTCTGTAGGCAAATCGAATATTGCCAAGGGATCTTTTTCGCTTTTAATGTTTAATCGCCTTTTTTTTTAATCCATGAGGAATTGTCAGATGCCTCATTCAAGTTATATTTATTTGAATGTTCACTGCTTTTTATTTTTTCCTCTAATCCTTTTATTATTGAATTTATTGTTGCTACTCTTGTTTTTATTATTATTATTATTTTTATTATTATTATTATTATTATTATTATTATTATTATTATTATCATCATCATCATCGTTATTATTGTTGTTGTTGTTGCCTCATTTTGTCTGTATTTTATTTATTTGAATGTTTATTGTTTTTATATTGTGTTTTCCACCAATCGTTTTATTATTAAAATTTTATGTTATTATATTATTGTTATTAGGACTATTGTTATTATTTTTATTATTATTATTATTATTATTATTATTATTATAAAAAAAAAAATTACTATTACTATTATTACTATTACTATTATTACTATTACTATTATTACTATTACTATTACTATTACTATTACTATTACTATTAC